AATATTTAATTTAATATAATAATTATGAAATGTAATTAATTAATTTAAGAAAAACCTGATTTTTGTAATTTTAAACTGTTGGGCCTGATTTTTAATTTTAGAATAGTAAACACCTGACCCATAAACTTTTCTCCAAAAATTTTGGTTTGAAGTAATTACCACTTCTGATTAGAATCCCACCCAATCTACTAAGTTTTTTGGCCCATATAAGGGCCCATTGATGTGGGTTATAAAACAAAAATCCACGTCAGACCAACCATTTCATGCTCTTACTGTCTTACATAGGAATCTTCACCCTTTTTTACGTTAAACCAATTCACCGGCGATGGATTCTGGCTCCGGCGAAGGCGCTTCGTTGCCCTCTATTGGCCCTGATGCTCAGAAGCGGCGGGTATGCTATTTTTACGAGCCTGCAGTCGGTGGTTATTATTACGGCCAAGGGCATCCGATGAAGCCTCACCGCATTAGCATGGCTCACAGCCTGATTGTGAACTACAATCTATACCGTCGAATGGAGATCATCCGTCCCTTTCCGGCAGGAGCCGCCGATATAAGTAGGTTTCACACTCCCGAGTACGTAGATTTTTTATCTTCGATCACCCCAGATACCGTCAATGACGAGAACAACGCTCAAAAAGTAAAGCGCTTCAATGTGTGTGATGATTGTCCTGTATTTGAGGGGCTATTCGAGTTCTGCCAGGCCTCGGCTGGCGGTTCGATTGGTGCGGCTGCTAAACTGAACCACGAGGACTCGGATATCGCAATCAATTGGGCTGGTGGGCTTCACCATGCAAAGAAAAGTTTGGCTTCGGGTTTTTGCTATGTGAATGATATTGTTCTCGGAATCCTGGAGCTACTCAAATTCCAAAGGGTAAGTAGACAAATAATTCGTTTCTAATTTTGTTATTCAAGATTTTTTGTTTCTTTGTTGTTTTTTGGGGGATTGTTTTGTTTAGTCGTTTATTAATTTTTGAAATTGCAGAATTCTTCGTGTTGATGTTTACTTTTTCTAGTTAAGAAAATTTATTATGCGAGCAAAGCGATGGATCTCTCTACATGAACTAGTCTGCGAATGCTTGCATGTTTGGTATCACATGTTTGTATCTGTCCTGCTGTCCATGCTGGTGCTGAAAAGCAAAGTTCGACCTCGTTATTTGGGCTATCCAATTTGTTTGATTCTTGGAATTTATGTTTTTCCATAATTGGTTGTAGTCTTTTTCATTCATTTGTTTGTGCCATTCCAGTGATAAGAAGCACATTTAGTTGGTATGTGATATTGGTTTCTGCTTTCCAATATGTTTCATCGGTATATTATGACCTCTGGGACTATTATAGAATCCTAAGCATTAAGCTAAATACTACATTAGTTTCATCCTTAGACCAACGCTTTGATCTCCTTTAGTGAAAATAACAAAGCTGAAAACACATGTAAGTGCAACACACTGATCTTCATGTTCTTAGAATTTTATTACTTTTTTTTTTATTTCTTCGATAAATAATTAATGGTCTGCAACTGATTTCCATCAACTCACCCAGGCTCGAGAAAACTGGGTCCCAACAAGTAATTGAAGGTATAGAATCTGTCCTAGAGGTCATGCTTCAATTGTTTAAATTTTTTATTGGGGAATAATTTGAAAGTGGTCCTCCTTTCCATTTGATTAGATATTTTGGTAAACACTTCTCTAGTTGAGGCAATTTGATGATTAGCAATATGTTCACTTCCTTCTTTTAATTATGAAGCTGGTGGAAGATGAGCCCTTAGAGTGTCACTAGATGTAGCATCATTATGATATAGAATAAGATCTTTGATGTTAGCATATTACTAATGCCCACAACACCAAGTAATTTTGAGGACATAAACATTGTAGTTGATTTTCTTAAGCACTTTGTAAGGACCAACCTTCCTTCAATGAAGCTTTATGCACCTTTAGGGTGCTGTTCTGGTGTTACGGGACCATATCAATATAACATTCTTTAAACTCAAAAAATCTTTTTAAAATCTGCATATGCCTTGTAACCTTCATTGGGTGAAGTTCTCCTTCGAACATCTTTGTGCATATCATGTATATATTTAGCAAAATCTTCTGCTTCAGCATTTGGTCGAGCTTCGGTCGGTAAAGGGACCACATTGATTGGATTTCTTGGTAACGAACCAGTAACAATCTCAAATGGGTTGTGGTTAGTTGTCCTGTTCACTGAGCTATTATAAAGAACTTCAGACATAGGAAGAATCTAATTCCAAGTTTTTATACAACTAGACAATGTAATAGGTCAGCCAAACATCTATCAGTACCCTCTGTTCTGCCAGTCATCACTTTGACAGTGAAAAGAAGAAGACAACCTCAGTTTGTTATTCAACATTTCCATAAAGTTCACCAAAAGTATCTCATAAGCTTTATATCCCGATTCAAAATAATGGTTTTGGATTAACCATGTAGGAGAACTATTTCTTGGAAGAAGAGTTTAGCAATGTGGACGGCATCTTAAGTCTTTGAACATGGTAGAAAATGTTCCATCTTTGAAAAATGATATATTATAACATATAGAATCGTTTCCAGGGATGGTTCTTTGCAATCCAAGAATGAAATCCATGCTTAGGTCTTGCCATGGTTCATGTGGCACAGGAAGTTGCATGTACAAACGTGTATTTTTCTCTCTTCCTTTCAAAATTCAATAGGTTTGACACCATAATACAATCACATCACTTTCAAGTTTGTCATTAATACTGATCCTCCATGACAATGGTTATCTCTTTCAAAATGACCTCTTGCCCCTACAATCTACGTTGTGCATCCCGTATTACTTGTTTTGGAAGTGATGTGTTTGGTAAGCAAAGGCAAGTGCCTTTCAAATTAATAACCATCATGCATTGAAAATTCATGATGATTCCGTGTCTGACCAGCTATTGAGTTGGCATGGATAATGTTGAAACCTTTAATGGCGTGTTCGGTAGAGATTAAAATTGGATTAAAATTGAAAATTAGCCATTATTGTTGACTTTTATTAGACGAGTGAGACCAATAACAGCTATATTTTCAATTTTAATTGGATTTAAGTTTAGCCAAACATGCTCTAAACAAGAACATTTCCTTTTTAGTAGCTCAAATCTCGTCATTAGTATAGTATAGCCATAGGCCCATAGAAGAAATAATGTACAACAAATTTGTGATTGCTGACAAAAGAATATTCTTTCACGAAGCTCCATAACCAAAAATGAACAAATTCCTTAGCGAGGAGATAATGACTCCAATAGTGCAAAGCTTCGACAACTGTATAGAGCTCTCTGCTCTTTATAAAGGTTTAATACCTTTGGTGCGCTTTATTGAGCTTCTAATGGAAGAAGGCTATATGATGTCCTTCTTGACTTAAAACACGTCCAGTTCCAACATTAGATGCATCACGCACAACTTCAACTATTTATGAGAAATCTAGTAGTTGTAGACTATGTTGTTACGTCAACTTTTTGTTTTTTGTTCTTTCAAAATCTTGAGATTCTGCGTTTGCTCACATGAATTGAGTTTTCTTCTTAAAATCAGTAATTGGAACCATTGTACTGCTTAAACTTCTTAAGAAGCGTCGATAAAATGTTACTAACCCATGAAAATTGCAATTTTCAATGGGAATTGGCCATGTTGAAGTTGTACTACCTCATCTGAGCTTGTTAAAGAGGATATACATTTATTTATTTAAATGTTGTCTTAAACATGAGTGTAGGGAAATTTGAGGTTTTATTATTGCACATCAAGCTTAGTTACTTCTGTAGTTCAGTCAACTTATGCTCACACATTAAAATTGTTGCCTTATTTTCCTATTGGAAGTTGTTGACTTATTACTATTATTTTCCTTGACAAACAAACTTCTCTCCCCTCTTATACTTCTGACCTTGTTTTTGGTGGATTTTTACTGTTCTGCAATACATTGTTTCTTACCTGCAGCGTGTACTTTACATCGACATTGATGTTCATCATGGAGACGGTGTTGAAGAGGCTTTTTATGTTACTGATCGAGTAATGACAGTGTCATTCCATAAATTTGGGAACAACTTTTTTCCAGGAACTGGTCACATAAAAACCAATGGGGCAGGTGATGGGAAATACTATTCTCTTAATGTCCCTTTACGTGATGGTGTGGATGATAAGAGTTTCCATAGTTTATTCCGTCCCATCATCCAAAAAGTCATGGAGGTCTACCAGCCAGATGCTGTTGTTCTTCAGTGTGGGGCAGATTCATTGGCTGGTGACAAGTTAGGGAGCTTCAACTTATCTGTGAAAGGTCATGCAGATTGCCTTCGTTTCTTGAGATCTTTCAATGTTCCCCTTATGGTTTTGGGTGGTGGAGGCTATACAATGAGGAACGTTGCTCGTTGCTGGTGCTATGAGGTCTCTCTCCCTCTTGTGTGTGCTTTCCATGCGCTTTATCTGTGCATGAGTTTATGCTTGCCTTTTTGCATTTTGTTTCTTCTTTTCCCCATGCTTAAGATGTAATGTATGAAGTTCCATCCTCCTTGTTTGTCTTGGGATATGAATTTATGTATGATTCCCTACTTTATTGCAGACAGCGGTTGCAGTTGGTGTGGAACTTGATAATAATTTGCCTCATAATGAATATTACGAGTATTTTGGCCCAAACTATACTCTTCATGTGAAACCGAAGCCCAGGAAGAATCTAAATTCAGTCAGAGATCTGGAGAAAATCAGGTGACCATTACAATTGTTTGATAATTTTAAATTTGAATAAGGCATATGATATTTATTTCCCAACAACACCATCCCTGCCTTGAACCTGGGGAAGCTGTATAAATCTTTACATAAAGAATACAAATAGAAACTTAAATTGACTCGATAATAGTGCTCTCTGAAATTAATCTATGTTTGTTGTTCAGCCTTTTTATCACCCATAATTAAGCCCTATTTAGGCTCCATTAAAATTATAATTCATTTTTCTTTCTCTTCTTATCAACTACACATTCTGCAATAAAATAATATTATACGTAAACTCTCCATTTTTCTTTCTCTTCTTATCAACTACACATTCTCAAATAAAATAATATTATACGTAAACTCACAACTTTTCCTTTGTTTTTTATCACGCACTCCCCAAAAAATTACCATTCCAAAATAATTTTTTCCCAAAATCTAATTAAAATGGAGGCCAAACAAGGGTTAAGTTTTATGTAGATATGAGCCCATCTAATTTGTACTCATGCCAGAAGCCTCAGTATTTCTCCATATCAACATAGCTAAAATGTTATTTTTGTACCATTTTCTGTTGTATTCTATTGAAGATTTGATCTTCATGTTCCAATGGGCAAGAGTAAGAAGTACGAGTACTTGTGGAACTATCCAATACCCTCGATATGTATTGGATACATATTTTTAATTATTTTTTATATTTTTTAATTTTCGATAAGTATCGAATAGGCATTTTTAATTGTTTTCGATACATATCCGAGATGTATCGGATATATATTTTTTAATTATTTTAATAACTCATTGAATACTAATAATATTTATTGAAAATACACAATTAGAGTTTTAAATTAATCAACTGCACTTTTTATTTAAAATACACAATATTATTTATTATTTTAATACATGTGAAACCTTGTTAATAGTTGGCAAATATATTTTTGTTATTGAAAATAATTAGTAATTAGTATTAAATAATACATGTAAAATGATGTTACATTAGTTTTATTATTGAAAATAAATAATGATTTAATACATGTAAAACTGTGCTAATAAATTATAAATTAATATAGTCTAACTCCACTATATATTTAATTTCTTTAAATAAATGTACTTATAAATTATAAAATAACTATCTTATAAAATAGTAGATAGAGTTTTAGAAAAGGAAAAATTCTTTTGAACTTAAAACATTAAAACATGTCTTTTTCTCAAGAAGAATTATCAAAACCACTTTGGAAGCATGTTACCAAAATCAGATTTCATATTCCGTTTTAATGTTTTTATATTAATGAAATTATGTTGAATTTTATAAGACGTATTTGCGTCCTAATTTTTTTAAGAAATCACATTGGAGTATCACTGTCAAATCGTATTCGAATTACGTATCCGTTTTCGTGCTTCTAATAGAACCAGAACTTTCTTTACGTGTATTCTGAATGCAATTTCTATAAAGTGAACCACCACAATGGTGGAGTATTTATTGATGCTAAAACAAAATAAATCAAAATGCAAATTTAAGAGGGGCATATAACCTGAATGGAAGTAAAAAAGCAGAAAATATAACTAGTCTAGTAATTTAAAATCTAAAGATAAAAGCCCACAATATATCTCATGGGCTCTCTTCATGCTTCGCTTTGTCATACTTCAAATTAGCTAGTTGTTAGACTCTTCTTCCTTGATCAAGTTCATGCTATATTAATTCAGAAACCAATACACTTGGTTCACAATTTTAAATTTGGATAAGGCTTATGATATTTGAGTCCGGTTAGACAACAATAGAAAGTAGGACTGCTCAAAAAAATCGTGAAATTGCAAATTGAACCGAAATCATTGGTTCGGGTCTACGTGAACCCACAGTTTTTTCCTTCAAACCGAATCAAACCAAACCGTTTCAAAATGCTTTGGTTTGAGTTTCAATTTTCAAAAATCGCACAACCAAACCGAATCATTTTTTAATTAAAAATTAATTTTATTAACTTATAAACTTTACAATTTTCACTTTTCCGAAAAAATATTAATTTAGCAATACAAATTACAACCATCCCATTGTAATAATCATATAAAGTAAATTAAGTTCATCATTATTGGCTCATGGTTTTATAAGTCTACAACACATGTCTTGACCCTGTATCTAAACTAATCTAAAATTATTCCGAAATCATATGAAATAAAAAAAAAAAGAAACTTGTATTTTCAAAAATCTAAATCATAATTCAACAAAACTATGGCAACAAATCACGCCCACAGATTTAGAAGCCCTAGCCTAAACTCTCATTTCTCAAACATTTGACACTTGCCGCTATTGCTAAACGAAATGTGATTCCCAATCACAAATCGCCAATCACCTTTTACCTGTTAGTCTGCTAATTTGTATCTGAATCGCCTCTTTCTCTCTTCTCTCTCGGTAAGTCTCATATTCCTATTCAAGCCATTTTTTTATTGTTCTTTCTTTTATTTGTTGTTTTGAACTTATTATACACTTGTAAGTTGTGGTTTGGATAAAAAAAAGTTTGTGTGTCTAAGTGATTAATGAACTTGTTTGTGATTTGGAAAGAATGAAAGACATAGCATATTGATTGTGAGGAAATATTAAAATTCTCTAACTAGTACTACTACCTTCTACTTTTTCAAATTAGTTCGAGAATGAAATTTATCAATTCCTAATAAACCTGAACTCAATCATTCTTTGTACATCTAAATAAATCATGTTCAGTCTTTATTTTTCATCTCACTAGTAGGACGGAAAGGAGTTTTAACCAAACAATTACAACAGAATGTGACTTCGCCTTTACCATAAAAATGAAGAAAAATATATTCGTTCTATTAAAATCTTTTAGCAACCAATATTGAAAATAATTTATTCACTAGTTTCATGGAAAAAATGAATGTAATTTAACATTATTAGTTCTCGTTTAAACTTATATGTTAACTTATTTTATATATATTATTATAATGTCGATAGGTAAAGCGCGGATTAAAACCGAACCAACCCGCAAATTATGGTTAGTTCGAAAAATAAAATGGTTTGGTTTGGTTTGAAAAAATTTATTTTAGCTAACAAATTTGAAAATAATTTATTCACGGGTGGGAAAGATGAATGTAATTTAACATTTAATATTATTAGGTCTCGTTTAAACTTATATGTTAACTTGTTTTAAATATATTACTATAATATCGATATATTAACATCAGATTAAAACCGAACCGAACCGCAAATTATGATTTGATTTGGTTTGATTCAAAAATAAAATGGTTTGGTTTGGTTTGAAAAGAATCCAAATTGCATGAAATGGTTTGAGTTGAAAATATAGCACAAACCGCCCAAACCGAACCGCATTCACCCTTAGTAGAAAGAACCACATAAAGAATACATATAAAAAAGCTTAAATTGACTCGGTAATTATGCTTGCTAAAATTTTTCCTTTATGTTATCTTTTCAACCTTTTATCACTTGAAACTAAGTTATATGTGGGTAGCAATGAGCCCATCTAGAGCATGTTTGTCTAAGTTTAAAATTCAATTAAAATTGAAAATAGAGTTGTTATTGGGTCCCACTCGTCTAATAAAAGTCAACAATAACGGTTAGTTTTTCAGTTTTAATCCGATTTTAATCTCTTCCGAACATGTCCCTAATTTGTATTCATGTCGGAAGGCTCGGCATTCTGAATATCATTAGTCTATGCCCTTTTCAGTTGTATTGTATTGTATTGAAGATTTGATCTTTAGGGTCCAATGGGCAAGACTAATATTAGTACCAGAACTTTCCTTCATTGTATGCTAAATGCATTTTTTTAGTCAAACCACTACAAGGGTAGAGACGTAGAGGATTCATTAATACTAATAGAAAAATAAAAAGAGTACGAAGTTATACAAAGTTAAGAGAGAGTATATAACCTAATTTCCAACCAATGAAAGTAAAAAAGCATAGAAAGTAACCAGTCTAGTACTTTGGAATCTAAAGACAAAAATCCTACATTGTATCTCCCTTGCCCCGTTCATGCTTGTTGTGTCATACTTCAAGTTAGGTGCTTTGTTGACTCTTCTTCCTTGACCAATATCTGATAGTTATTTAATTTGCCCAATTTTGTCTTGGTTTTCCAATATTTGAATCATTTGATCCTTTTTATTTTTAGCTCTTTCTGGAAAGACATTAGTATTGTCCCTTTTCAAACTTTCTCTTTCCTGAATATATCAGCATAGAACCATAAATTTTCCATTCTCATTTTTTACTAATCTAATATCTTGTTAAACTCCCGCAGGCCCTTCCCTGCCATCTATTTAAGTATTCTGAATGCAATTTCTATAAATTGAACCACCACAATGGTGGAGTATTTATTGATACTAAAACAAGATAAATCAAAATACAAATTTAAGAGGGGCATATAACCTGAATGGAAGTAAAAAAACAGAAAAATAACTAGTCCAGTAATTTAAAATCTAAAGATAAAAGCCCACAATATATCTCATGGGCTCTCTTCATGTTTCTCTTTGTCATACTTCAAATTAGCTAGTTGTTAGATTCTTCTTCCTTGATCAAGTTCATGCTATATTAATTCAGAAACCAATACAATTGGTTCACAATTTTAAATTTGGATAAGGCTTATGATATTTGAGCCCAGTTAGGTAACAATAGAAAGTAGGGCTGCTCAAAAAAATCGCGAAATCGCAAATTGAATCGATATCGTTGGTTCGGGTCTACGTGAACCCACGGTTTTTTCCTTCAAACCGAACCAAACCGTTTCAAAATGCTTGGTTTGGGTTTCAATTTTCAAAAATCGCACAAACCAAACCGAATCATTTTTTAATTAAAAATTAATTTTATTAACTTATAAACTTTACAATTTTCACTTTTCCGAAAAAATACTAATTTAGCAATACAAATTACAACCATCCCATTGTAATAATCGTATAAAGTAAATTAAGTTCATCATTATTGGCCCGTGGTTTTATAAGTCTACAATACGTGTCTTGACCCTGTATCTAAACTAATCTAAAATTATTCCGAAATCATATGAAATAAAAAAAAAGAAACTTGTATTTTCAAAAATCTAAATCATAATTCAACAAAACTATGACAGCAAATCACGCCCACAGTTTTAGAAGCCCTAACCTAAACTCTCATTTCTCAAACATTTGACACTTGCCGCCATTGCTAAACGAAATGTGATTCCCAATCACAAATCGCCAGTCACCTTTTACTTGTTAGTCTGCTAATTTGTACCTGAATCGCCTCTTTCTCTCTTCTCTCTTGGTAAGTCTCATATTCCTATTCAAGCCATTTTTTTATTGTTCTTTCTTTTATTTGTTGTTTTGAACTTATTATACACTTGTAAGTTGTGGTTTGGATAAAAAAAAGTCTGTGTGCCTAAGTGATTAATGAACTTGTTTTTGATTTGGAAAGAATGAAAGACATAGCATATTGATCGTGAGAAAATATTAAGGGCTTGTTTGAAATGGATTTTAATCCAATTAAAATTAAAAATATAGCCGTTATTGGGTCCCACTTGTCTAATAAAAGTCAACCATAACGGCTATATTTTCAATTTTAATCCAATTTTAATCTCTCCCAAACAAGCTCTAAAGTTCCCTAACTAGTACTACTATCTTCTACTTTTTCAAAGTAGTTAAGAGAATGAAATTTATCAATTCCTAATAAACCTGAACTCAATCATTCTTTGTACATCTAAACATATCATGTTCAGTCTTTATTTTTCATCTCACTAGCAGGACGGAAAGGAGTTTTAACCAAACAATTACAACAGAATGTGACTCCACCTTTACCATAAAAATGAAGAAAAATATATTCGTTCTATTAAAATCTTTTAGCAACCAACATTGAAAATAATTTATTCACTAGTNTTTTAGCTAACAAATTTGAAAATAATTTATTCACGGGTGGGAAAGATGAATGTAATTTAACATTTAATATTATTAGGTCTCGTTTAAACTTATATGTTAACTTGTTTTAAATATATTACTATAATATCGATATGTTAACATCGGATTAAAACCGAACCAAACCGCAAATTATGGTTTGATTTGGTTTGATTCAAAAATAAAATAGTTTGGTTTGGTTTGAAAAGATTCCAAATTGCATGAAATGGTTTGAGTTGAAAATATAGTACAAACCGCCCAAACTTAAATTGACTCGGTAATTATGCTCTCTAAAATTTTTTCTTTATGTTATCTTTTCAACCTTTTATCACTTGAAACTAAGTTATATGTGGGTAGCAATGAGCCCATCTAGAGCATGTTTGGCTAAGCTTAAAATTCAATTAAAATTGAAAATATAATCGTTATTGGGTCCCACTCGTCTAATAAAAGTCAACAATAACGGTTAGTTTTTCAATTTTAATCCGATTTTAATTTCTTCCGAACATGCCCCTAATTTGTATTCATGTCGGAAGCCTCGGCATTCTGAATATCATTAGTCTATGCCCTTTTCAGTTGTATTGTATTGTATTGAAGATTTGATCTTCAGGGTCCAATGGGCAAGACTAATATTAGTACCAGAACTTTCCTTCATTGTATGCTGAATGCATTTTTTTAGTCAAACCACTACAAGGGTAGAGACGTAGAGTATTCATTAATACTAATAGAAAAATAAAAAGTGTACGAAGTTATACAAAGTTAAGAGGGAGTATATAACCTAATTTCCAACCAATGAAAGTAAAAAAGCATAGAAAGTAACTAGTCTAGTACTTTGGAATCTAAAGACAAAAATCCTACATTGTATCTCGCTTGCCCTGTTCATGCTCGTTGTGTCATACTTCAAGTTAGGTGCTTTGTTGACTCTTCTTCCTTGACCAATATCTGATAGTTATTTAATTTGCCCAATTTTGTCTTGGTTTTCCAATATTTTGAATCATTTGATCCTTTTTATTTTTAGCTCTTTCTGGAAAGACATTAGTATTGTCCCTTTTCAAACTTTCTCTTTCCTGAATATATTAGCATAAAACCATAAATTTTCCTTTCTCATTTTTTACTAATCTAATATCTTGTTAAACTCCCAGTCCGGGAAGGGACGGTAGATAAATATACTTTGTTCAGCTGTGAAAATTTTGATATCAGGATTTAGTCTTCGCCATTTTAGTCTTAATATAGGTAAAATGTTCTTTAATGAATGTCATAACTGCAGAGATATGGTGTTCAATCAACTCTCTAATCTACAACATGTACCAAGTGTTCCATTTCAAACAATGCCTCCCACTGCAAGAGTACCAGATGGGGTAAGTAGCTTCCATTAGCTCCCTGATGTGTGTTTCTGGGTATGTTTTACATTCGTTTCCTTTCACATATTCCAATCTCCCTAGAAATCTTTCAAGTACCAGGGAGGAGAAGACATGGAAACAAGAGCAAAACCTCGAATTTGGAATGGTGAAGAATATGCATCGGACGGTGATGAGGATGCCATACTAATTGAAGATTAGATATATCATTGCCTTCTGTTCGAAAGATTAAAGAGTGTCCTTGACTTGAAAGTCTTTGGGATTTCTTGGAAGATTTGCTATAATTGGCTAAGCTTAGAAGTTACCTTTAAGTAAGTTCTTTTCACAAACATGTTTAAACCTTTTTAGTTGTTTTTTTTTTTTTTTGTTAGATTTTTATTTCAGATACTTGGTAAAAAAGTAATTTTACTTTATTTTTCTTTAAAAAAAAATTTCCTTACATGATCTATATTGAATTCAAGAATGGTCAATTTGAATGAGCTGGTGATTAATATACAATGTGCTTAACTTAATTAGTATGCAACTATATAGAGATTGTTTTGGAATTTCAATTGGACTATCCCCTCCAAAATAAAAATTGGCAATACTGACTTTCAGAAACATAGCCCCTGTTTGTCTCCCTTTTTTTCAACTTTTTTTTTTTAAAAACTCATTTTCAACCACACATTCACACAATAAAATATTTACACGTAAATCCCAATCTTTTTCACTTTTTAACTACATATTTTCCAAAAAATCACAATTCCAAGAATTATTTTTCCCCAAAAACTCTATTAAAAAGGGAGACAAAGAGGGGCTTAATTGTTACGACAACAGTGCCTAAAGTTATTCAGAAGTTAATTCTTTTTCTGTTTGTTAAGCATTAATTATACGGGGGTATTTAAGTGTGCTGTATCATCATATGTCAATCATATCCTTCAAAATGCTTCACAGGCTACATCTGGACACCTATACTAGTAAGTTTGTAAAAATAGTGACCTTTTTTACTTGTAATGATACAATTCTTTGTTTTTTTGTTTTTTTTATCAACTAGAAATATTGTACGTCTTTTGATATTGTTATTGTCTCTAGATGTGTAAAATTGGATGCATAATTTATATAAGACCCATTTCTAATAAGATATACGGATCAAGCGCACTCAAGACACATTTTTCTTGAAAAACATGGAATGCAGCAATATAGGAAGAGATGTAAGAACTGAAATAGTATATGACATGCTAGCCCTCTAAATCAGAGAATAAACTAGTAAATTTTTTGATGCCTTTAATGCAATTCTTCCTTGTGTGACATAGCACTAAATTTGTCAAATTAATTTTCGTTTGGAAAAGATAACAATAATATGAATATCGACCATTGAAAGCCTCCATTGATCCTTATTATAAACTTCCATTCTCAGAAGACAATTCTTGATATTATTTGATTGAGAAAAGACTGCCTATGCACACTTTGAACTTAGAACATAATTTGATACCAAGAATTTATAATTTCATTCTTACTTTTCTCAGTGGGAACTGATGTAGATTGGTAGTATATGCACAGAGCATCAATAATTTTAAAATAATCCTTCATACGTGCATCGTAGTTGCCTCCAGTAATTGACAAAAAGGAAGGAGTTTCCTGGAAGTTATATTAATTGTTGGGTTTAACTTTTAGAATTTTGTTGGAGCCAAGGGATTAGAAATAATAATTTTGGAATATGTAACGAAGTTCTTTCCTATTTAATTCTAAAATGGTTCTATGAAAACCAAGTAACTAATTAATGGCAAATTCTCTATAAGAGTCCATACATAAAATAAATATGTTTAATTATCCCATTCACGTTATTTTTGGAAGTGTATATACATTTGGGAAATTGTGAGAGTTTCACTCTCCAAACTTACCTTTTATACTAGATATTTATTTTGAAGCGGTACTTATGGGGTTGGTTGTGTTTACGTGCTAGATGTCGGGGTTGTCAAACCTGTACACTTTGGATACATGTTATCAAACTTGTAAACTTACCTTTTAGTACATTCTATTTGTTTCTTCTATGGTAAAAGGACATCTAATATAATCACAACAAAACATGTATTCAAATTTATTTAGATATATGTTGAACAAATTAAACACTTAAAATATACTTAATCAATGCATCTTACCTTTATAGATGTCATATTAGCCGCTAATTTTTTTCTTCGTGTGACAAGAAGACACAATGGAGGACTCTTGTTGTTGGAGGCCTCATTTTAACCCTTTTTTTCTATATTATTGGTGGTTTGTAATGTATACATTATATTAGTTGACCATTTAATTGCAATACGTAATGTGGCTAGAGAACTCGACATTATAGTGTCGTAGCTTATTTCATTTAGAGCCTATTTGAGCCACTTTTTTGCCCAAAATGCATTTTGGAATAGTATTTTGATTGAGAATGTGTAGTTAAAAAATAAAGAAAAGTTTTGGGTTTGCTTGTAATATTATTTTATTGAAAAATGTATGGTTGAAAATAAGAAGAAAAATGTATTTTGAAAATAATGGGGACCAAACATGGGCTTAACATTTAAATCGCTTGACATCGGTGAGATAGTGAAGTTAAATATTCATAAAATAGGTGTGTTTGGATACAGATGGTAATGGATGCGTCTACAATCATTTCTTTAGTTTTGCTGGTTGGGCGCGTTCATAATGACTATGCACACAACTAGGATTCACAAATATGTGTTTCAATATTGAGATTTAGAATTTGCTATTTATTTCTTTGCATCGGCAAAAATTGTGTTGGCAGAAACATCAAATATTTTTGATGTCTTAAAAGTTACATTTTTATTAATGTTTTGATAGGACATTTTTATTAATGTTAGACCTATGTTAGGCAAAATGAGTAACTTAAAAGTAAGTTGGACTTACTTTTAAGCATAATCAAACATTCTTTAAATACAATCTGGTTATTGTGATAATTTCTATTTCTCTAAGTTGAAGTATCATTATTTTTGGACTCAGGGATATTTCAAATGAAGTCAAAGTAGTAGATATGACAGATAAACCTCGTGAAAGACGAATTCCCCTTCATAAATTGGGGTCTCCGGTCAAGTGGCAATTTAATGTCACATATCAATCAATCCCACAAGACCAGGTACTTTGTACTCTCGTTGCCGATGTTTCTCTCCCCCTTAATTTCCTGCGTGATTTCTGTCCTGGATATAGTAGAGTACTCAACAAGGTCACTTTTTACACGAGAGGAGTATTCGTGCTTACAATGGGTAACAAGCTGTGAAAATATTTATGTATCTCTAGTCAAGTTTCGTATAATCTTTTTTTTCTTTCTTTCTTTTTTTATTTCTAGGAGTATAATTTTTGATATATGAAATTCTTGTTGGTTGTCCATATGGTTGTGCTCTGTAGGACTCGTGCGGTAATTTTGATTATCAAGGCATCTGTTGAGCGGTGCAAATTGTTATAAAAAATGCTTTGCAACCCTGAGTAAATTAATGCCATAAAAATCCGTCTCTCTCAAAATGTTGTTTGAGTTTGTGCATCAAAATTTGTTCCGATTATCGCAGATATCTGGAGGATGGGTGTGGTATGCTTGAATGCATTGATATGGGGCTGTCAATTTGTAATGTTAGCATCATTTTGAATGTGTCCTTTTTTGTGAGAGACAATCTGTAGTTTCTGCATATGTTTTCTTGGTGTTGGATCTCTGCTTCTTTCTTCTGGTTGATATTTTCACATTGTTGTGATCCTCTTAGGAATTTCTACTTGATTGTATATTGCATAGTTTTCAACAGTTAAGCAGCTTTCCTGAATCTAAATACGATAAATGAGATGGGGCACAAATGCTAGATGAATTATGTTTTTAAGGACATCGCTTCTCCCTCGTTGTCCAGTAACCATTCTGAGTTTGGATTGATGACTAGGTTGTCCACCGCTTTAAAAAGGAAATAATGAGGGCAACTATCATTGGTACAGGTGGGTATTCATTCTGTAAGTTGGGTTTATTTCTCCTGGATGCACTGGTTGTTATAAAAAGCTTTCAATTGTAAATGTCCTTTGTTTTATGGGATGTTTGGTATGCAATATTAGAAAGTATAGAGGATAAAATTTTAACATTTTCTTCTTTTTTAGTATTGTCCAATTCACCTTACTAAACATGTCATTGTAGAATATAGAAGAAAATGAGGAATTTTAGTTTCACTTCTATTTCTCTCCATTTACTTCATTTTTCTTGGCATTTACTTATTTGTCGACGACGGTGTTACAGGCATAGGGTACAGATTGGGATGGACTGAGACAGCTTCGCGCATTCTAGTACCACGAATTGGTGATTCTATCACAAAGATTCATCTCCACCCTACTCACCCACCTTGCTCTCCCATCCATCAAACCCACAACCCTTGTCCTCTAAGGTCATGATGAAATAAAGATTCAACACTTCAAACCTTCATCAAATTTATCTCCAGGTACAAAATTACGTTCAAGTCTACTAGCATCTATAACATATCCTTCACCTGCAAGTTCCTTACTAACACGTATTTTAATAGACTCCTCATCTTCCCTCCCATTCTTCCTCATGCCCGCCAAGAATCCTTGGGTGTGGGGCAGGTTCGACCATTAAACTTGTACAAGAAATGCACCTTGAAACTGTAATCCGTGGCTGGGGGAGACCATCATCTCAATTTTTAGTCAAATAAGCATGTGAAGTGTTGGCCAGCTCAATTTGTTAACTTAATAAAGGATACCAAAATAATTAAAAATCTGGTTTTTATTTAACGATCAACAAAAATTATCAAAGAATACGATCATAATCATTTTGGGGTTGGGAATGGCAATAGGTCCAGACGGCTTGCTTGGTCGGCTTGTTGGCTTGTGAGAGATTGGTCCATGGGCGGCTTGGCTCATTCCAACATGAGCCTATAGGTTGAGCCAAGCTCAACGAGCCAGCCCTTGGGTTCACGAGCCCTCGTTATTTTCTTATTTCATTATTATTAGAATCCCACATTGTTTGGGAAAATATAAATGATCCACTTTATAAGGTGAGGGCAATCCTCCCCTAATAAGCCGGTTTTATTAGGTGGAGTTAGGCCCAATATTCCTAACATGGTATCAGAGCTAGGCCCAATTATGCAATGTTGGGTGCCACCCAATATCGATTTGTTCAAATAGGAGAAGAAAAATAAAAAAATAAAATAAATAAATAAATAAAAATGTGACCAAACGGTCAC